GAGAGCTCCTTGACAGTATGCTGAACGCGTGGGCCTTTGACCCACCCACCACGAGGGTGCGCGATCTGTAGGACAGGCTGAACAGACTGACCGTTGGATTCTGGGCAAAACTGCACGTGGGTTTTTCAAAGCGTGGGAGCGAACGGGCTTTTTGTTGCGTTTGCCACGACGTGAAATGTATTGTTGTGCAGGTGTGCTCGATTCGATTCGAAGTGTGAATCGACTCAGGAATAACGTAAATTTTTCTTGAAACAAACTTGATTCGAAGCAATCTACACGTGAACTGTTCAAAACGAAGTGAGCCGTTCTATGCCATGAAGTAAAATATTTCGGTTCCATTCTGTAACACATTATAAACACATGATGAAGGGATCTCAGTTAAAGTCAGGCTCCCTGCCTCACTACGCATACGCCAGATATGATCTTAAACGAACCACATAATTATTCATGTGACACTTTTATACCTATTCAAATGACGCTGTTGGCATCACTAACTGAGCATTTGATTCTTTAAGCTTCATAAAGATCAATGTGTAACATTGATAGGAGGCAGGGTTGTTTTTGCACGATGATGAAAGTGTTGGTTGTGATAGCGAGAACATCATGACAAACGGGCTCTTAAATCGATTGTAGTCACCCTGATCTGTTGCTGTCAGAACTGCATTGTTACATGCACACTAGTTTCCAAGCTTTTCTATACAGACATGACACAGAGCAGCATGACCAGGAATATCAATCATGACAAAACAAGCTTTAGGATTAACTTCAGTCTGCTCTTATAACCACAATGATTTCATTGCTACTCTAGAGCTGCATTGTTACAGAGGGGTGATTTGACTCGCTTCGTAGGCAATGGCCTTGATCCGAATGATGATTCGCGTCCCAATGTGTTTGTATGAATCAGAATCGAATCAAATCAGGCGAAGGCGAATCAAGCACAAGTCTGTCGCCGTGTATAAAAATTCGTCAACATGACTGCATGGGTGTAATGCCATGCACGTATTTAAAGAGACTATGCCAAACTTTTTGTCGTTTCCACTTACTGTTAGATCAGACGCGTATAATCTGATCAGTTCTACTGGTTTTCTCGAAGTACTTCTGCATAGCTCAGATTTCTATTCGAAGTAGCCGCTCCTGCGGGTGAAGTCTCATCGGACTCTATGCTCACCACTATTGAAGTAGCCGCTCTTGCGGGTGAAGTCTCATTGAACTCTCTGCTCACCACTATTTGAAGTAGCCGCTCTTGCGGGTGAAGTCTCATTGAACTCTCTGCTCACCACTATTTGAAGTAGCCGCTCCTGCGGGTGAAGTCTCATCGGACTCTCTGCTCACCACTATGAAAGCAATGCATTGAACTTCTCATAGAAAGAACAGAAGAAATGGCCTCATCCCTCCTAGAAAAATCAGGAGAAAGGAGATATAGATGCGTTACATATCGGTAACATGCCTTTGCTACTGCTTCGATAAATGCATGCTGCCAAAATATCAACGCATCTATGACTCCATTCTCTTTTTTTTCCCTCCGAGGCATAAGGCGTTTTTTCTTTTGTCGAAGCTATGTGAGTGATGTTCCTCTCGCAAAGGCACTTAACAACTTATGCATTTAAGTTCCCTTGCTATCCAATGTGTGCGTTTTGTAAGGTTTGTTACACTTATTTGTCAAATGTTTGTGTAATGAATGCCACGAAAGGTTGAAACACCCTATTAAGACAAAAAATTGCGAACACGAAGCTAGTATCCTGTAAATTCAGCGAAACGCTATCCTATGGCTTTGATTTCTCCCCTATGACGCTTACCAGTGACTTTTAGACGCTCTTTGGCTCTTGCAATGGGAGCATCACATCGACCATAATGAGGTAGTGACGCACTGGCTCAAACCTCAACCAATGTGCTCCTCTGTAACATGCACCCGCGGCTCGATTGGCCAGTCACTTTTATTCGCGCCATCAGAGGTGCCACGTCTGTTCTCATGGCGACGTCCATCTTGACAACTGCAGGGAAAAAACGTAGTGCTGGTACAAAGCGTCTATAGCGCAATTTGGACCCGGGAATGGTTGAAACTGATATCCTGATAATGTCTTGACGGTGCTGCAGCGGCGCTGCCCAGTGCTTTTATCAGACGTAACTGGTCCTGAGGTTTCACTAGAGTATGTTTTTGAAGTACGCCATAAAGGTGGTACACTCTCTCTCTCTAAGTCTGCTAAGTAGCTACACATACTTCATGCTACTGCTTATTTATCTGTAGCTATGGAATGAGATACGATCCTCACGACCGTCTCTTCCTCCAAACTTTCAAAAGTGTCAAAAGTTTCAAAAGTGTAAGAAATTGATTAGCTTCACGACACGATTTCTAAGCCGATGAACAGCATTACCATGCTGTTCCCCAATGTCAGATGCGTTTTTTAAGTGCCAAGTCATGAGGTACTTTGTTTCTTACCCACAGCCTTTTTTCTTGTGATATTAAAATACCAGTGTTATAACTGTAATCGTCATTTCATGGCCGCATCGCAGGGTAGTTTTCGCTCGCCATCCGGGTCATCCGTCTAGTGGCCGCGATGCAGTGAATCTTCGCCGTCCGGGCCATCCGTCTAGTGGCCGCGGTGCAGTGAATCCTCGTCATCCGGACCATCCGTCTAGTGGCCGCGGTGCAGTGAATCCTCGCCATCCGGGCCATCCGTCTAGTGGCCGCGGTGTAGTGAATCCTCGCCATCCGTGGCTTGACCGTCTGCTGCCGCCGCAGGTCTGATCCTGGTGCCGAACGGCGCCCTGATCGGTCAGGCGCTGGGCGACCAGTACGACGCGCCGGCCGAGCCGCGCGTCTTCACTGGCGCGCCGACCAACCTGACGTACCCGCTGCCGGCGCTGGAGGGCGCCGACGCCGGCCGCCAGTACCACACCCACCCCTGGGGCATCTTCTTCACCATCGTCGGCACGGTGCTGCTGGACTTCGACTCGGATGCGTGCCAGAGCCCGGCCAGGGCCTTCCTGCTCGACATCACAGTGCCCGGTCAGTTGTCTGTCCTGCTGGTGTGGGCTGGTGCTGTCACAGCGCTCGGTCAGTGTCCTGGCCTGCTGGTGTGGGCTGGTGCCGTCACAGCTTCCGGTCAGTGTCCTGGCCTGCTGGTGTGGGCTGGTGCCGTCACAGCTCCCGGTCAGTGTCCTGGCCTGCTGGCTTGGTCTGGGTACCTGGTCATCTGTGCGGCCTGCCAGCCTGGGTCGCTCTGGTGACCGTCCACCCTCGCTCGCACGATCCGTCACACGGTCTGGGCGCCACCGCTCTAGCCGGTTTAAGACGTGACTTGCCTCGCAAGTGCGTTGACTTCTTCGGTCGGCCGATCTCGATAAGGTTGTGCATTCCATTGATTTATTTATGGTGATAACCCTCAGCAATATACGGCAAGCTGACGTGCGTCCCATTTGTGCACGATAGTGGTAGCGTACGCGCCTGTAAGCCTGTCTGCATGCGTGCATGCGTGTCCGTCCGGATGCGTGCGTGCGTGTGGTGAGCGTGCCCTGTTTGTCATCTGGTGCGCATTTGTTTTCCGTCATGCGGCGCGAGCGGTAAACTAAGACGTCACGAGAGCTGAATTCCGCCTCCTCGCGAAAGATAAAACACGACTGTTCCATTATCCGCGAAAATGACCCCGCAGCACAGCCTTGTTCTAACAACAGCGGCATCGATATGGCCGCGAATGAAGCAGACGGCTGTTATTACACGTTGCAGAAACCCAATAAACAATGTGGTTCTTTTCTGAATTAGCCACCCGGAAAACACCGATTCCCTTTACAATATAGATATTCTAGCTGAGAGGATGCCCAGCAAATGGATTTGTTAGTTTGTGACCGACACCACTCACCAGGCGTGATGATGAACGCTAACGAATGGCTTCTGCTCTTTCTTGTCGGTTAATGTTGCGTGTTTTTGCATTGTGCAGCTTTGTTCGAACGATATCTTCAATTGAAGGGGCCATTACTGCCCGAACTTTTTTATGTCGGTGGTTTCTAAACCGTCGAAGCTTTGAAGGAAGCGTATTGTATTTTCCTTAGAATCGAGTTGACAGAACGTCTCACGATTTGAACACGATAATGAAAGAACTGGTACACAAATTTGTTGTGAATTAGTACGAACATTATCATAATTAGTATTCATCAATATTAATACATAAGTACATAAGTGTGATTAGTAGCAGCGGTGGAGTAGCCGCTGAAATCCAAGTGTTTCGCCACAATTTCAACTGTTACGCTTATACTACAGGGAACAGCTTTATAATGCCTCTAAATATTGCCAGCAGATCAGGTTTGGAAGATATTTTACCGTTCAAAAACGCATTTTACGCAATTTTCATTTCCCAAGCTTTTGGCATATTTAGCCACCTGTAGACAGCACATACCCAGTAAGATGAGGCTGCAGTCGAGAGTGAAGTTTATATACCAACGTCATGTTCCTGCAGGCACCATTGACACCAAAAGCGCTTTTAAGCACCGTATATTGGTTTATATGGTGTCTGAATGCATGTTTATGAAGCATGTCGCTGGCATCCGCCATGCGTTGACGTGTTTGCTCAACATTTCTGTTTTATGGTAATTTATTCTTTATGATCACGCCATTCACGATTTTAAAACTTGTCTTTGGCCTGATCGACACAAGAGCAGCCCAACCCAACCCTGATCGGCACATGGGCGGCCCAGACCGACCTTGATCGCCACATGAGCAGCCTAGCCCGACCCTGATCGGCACAGCCCGACCTGTTCGACACATGAACAGCCCAGCCCGACTCTGATCGCCACACCTTATGGAGGCTTATTTGTTTATAACCACGGTTGCAGGCTCATTCAGCTTTCCGCAACACAGTGGGCAGTTATAGGAATTTGTGCTATACGTGCTATTTGTGCTATTTGCATGCAAGCTGTTGACCAGGATTTGATTTGCACTATTGCGATATCACCACGATGGCATTCCACGTTCGATGACGCGGCAAGGCTGAAATTCTCCACATGCGAAAGGGCTAAAGAACACGTGTAGACTGGGTACAGACATCGCCGACCGGGCGTCTCGGCGACCCGAGACTGAGACATTCTGACCGAACAGAAGGAACAGAACAGTGAGGCCTAAATGTGTCTGGGCGCTCACGCGCCCTCGCGCTCAAACCATGGGCCGGCTCGATTTGCGACTTTTTAAGGATTGGTGCCAGATCTCAACGACTGGAGCTGATCGAAACGTGAAGCTGGCTGCACGGTGTAGGCGAGGGCACCGGCTGCAATTGACGAGAGGATCTCGAAACTGTTCAGCCCATGTCCTGGCGCTGAAATGCTTGGGCGTCGAGTGAAGTCAACAATATCACCGTTTCATGCGTCATAAATCCTGAAACGTTTTTCCAAGCCTACCAAAACAGCATGGTTGACTACTTTGTTATTACAATGACGTCGTATGCTGCTCTTTCTCAAATTCGAGATGCACGAGGAGGACCGGTATTAAGGGCAAGTCATCACGTACAATGAGTCACCAGCCTAGATTCCTTATATATGAAGTAATTTCAATTTTTCTTATCACAACATTTTTTTGGAGGCAAAACAAGCAGTGGCCAATACCAGGTGATCAATCGGTGCCCAAGTTGGTTGTGGAAACTTGGGATTTTGCAAGCTTTGCCCAACGTACCCTGACTTTTCCCCAAGCAAATTAATGGCTTGGATTTCATCGTAGTTGTTCTGTGCTAATAAGTCCTCCGGAGTTTGTACGGCCCTTTATATGCGTCCTGTCGAAAACAATCCAGCTAAAATGTGCGCTTCTGGATTTCCCTGCTCGGGAAGCAGCCCGCGCGAATGTCACACATTGTGTGCGTGTGCGTATATATATATATATATATATATATATATATATATATATATATGAATATGTATGTGGTCATCCAGGGATAAGCCGGCTGGACATGGCTCTGGGCAGGCCGGCCGGGACCCGTATCATCTATCAATTCGGTCCTCTTCACCACGTCATCTCTTCCCTTTGTTTTACATGCGGTGCGCTTTACATAATTTCGGGACCTGTGCGATGGGGTTCACATACTTATAATGCTTAAAGTACAATAAAGGCACCGACGACATGAAATCATTGTCTTCATACAGAACTAACGAACTGAATGCAAGCTCTAATGTTTTAACAAGTGGTTTGTTAACGGTGGTCCGACGACAGATTACTTTTGAATATTAACCCATAAGACATTTTAAAATTTCATGTTTGTAATTGATTTTGACAACATCTGCCAGCACTGTGCAACAATCCAGTCTGTCGTGAATTTCTGGAGTTTTTCACTGCTCAGCTAATGCTGGTTAAATTCATAAATTCCGTGGCTCTCGGCCCAAACTTCCTACCTATCGGGACCCTTGTCTCATTGAGATTGACCCCAGGTATTTTTTTAACTATCCGTAATACTCGAACGGTTGAAAAGCGACCATAGCAAGGCATTAATGAAATGCGCACAGATGCAAGGCAAATTATCACACCAAGTCTTGAAAACCATTCGAGATATGACAAACATCACCAACCAGTGTGATATGTTCAGATTGAAGCCATCATCCACTTTCCATGCTCATAACTCACGATAAGCGTGCAGTTGGGCCTAACAGCCTTTATCTCGGTCTCAGCGCGGGGCCCCTGAGTAAGATCGGCGTCAAATTATCTGACTTGGGCTTTGCTTTCAAATCTTGGCTGACGGCCCCACTTATCGTGACCAATATCCACCAAAATAGCTCCGTTTTTCACAAATATGTTCGTCATTGTCAAAACCACAAATCGTGACAAAGCCGCTGATCTGGTTAACTTAAGCTTGCAACATTAGCCAGACCCTGTGCCGGTCGCTCGCCACGCTTGTTGGTTTGCTGTCGCCCTGTTTTTGTGAACAAGCGCACCAACAAGCCGACTGCCGAAGGTGTCTGACCTCAAGATAGCAGAGCTATTGACATCGTCCACGTGATGACAACGGACGGCTCTCACATGTAACGTTCCCCCGCACATCTCACGGCGCATAAGGGCTCCTCTTGATGGATTTTAGGTGTCTTCGTCTCTTTATCCCGCTTTTGGAGTGCATCATCGCTGGTCTGTTACACCGACGGCGTTCAGCGGCACCGAAGCTCACACCCTGAGCGGAAAGGCCGGAAACACACTTAGTCTGCAGTGTAAGTTAACATTGTCAATAGTGGTCCGCGTGATACGCTGCAGGGCATCGCTTCAAAGACAGGTAAACGAAACAAAAAAGCTTTCATCATGCTGCAATCAGATTTGTAGTATTCATTATCGGAGCCTTTTGACACTTAATCAAGTTTATGTGCCGGGTAAAACCTTCCTCACTCGCTTGTAATGGAAATGTGACTCTTCGAACCTTCCAAACGTTGCTGTTGACAGCAACGACAGCTCCCACCGCTAAAGCTTATGGGCAGGGTAACAGGAACCACAGCGTTACGACTTGTGTAGAGCACTGGAAACAAACAATGTACGCCTAATAAAACCACCAAAAAAGCCAAATCTGACACTTCCTGCTGTTGCAAACAAATTCCGTGCCATTCACATGGCCAAATTTCTGCTGTATGGCCTTTTGGCACTGGCTGCAAAACCAAAATAAAGGAAAACAAATGTGGCGACTTGTTTTCGCATTGGGTACCTCCTCGCTGGGAGATGATGTGGCAGTATCCATTCCACGTGAGAAGCGCTCATCTCCTTGAGTATCATGTGCTACACTGGGAACGGTTTCGCCCTTCTCAGCCGGCGACAAACGAGTTGTCCCAGCAAGACCAAACTTTCAGTCTTCTTGCATGAGCGCGCTCATTGCGTTTGCAGGCGTGCATTTGCTTTCCGTTGCAAAAACATTCGGCTGAGTTAGGTCACTTGCGGATCTCATTGTGGAACCCATCAGGTGAATCGAGCTCCAAATTAGGACGTTGCTTTTGTGTGACACCTCCCACCTGGGGAGATGCATTGCCCGCACCCTGATCGCGCTGTTCACTTTGACCGCGCTGCTTATCCTGATCGTGTTGTTCACCCTGATCGTGCTGTTCACCCTGATCGTGCCTTTCACCCTGACCACGCTGTTCACCCTGATCGTCCTGTTCAACCTGATCGCGAAGTTAACTCTGATCGTGCTGTTCACCCTAATGGCGATGTTAACTCTGATGGTGCTGTTCACCCTGATCGCGCTGTCCACCCTGACCGCGCTGTTCACTCTGATTGCGCTGTTCACCCTGATCGCGATGTTAACTCTGATCGTGCTGCTCACCCTGATCGTGCCGTTTACCCTGACCGCGCTGTTCACTCTGATCGCGATGTTAACTCTGATCGCGCCGTTCATCCTGATCGCAAGGTTAACTCTGATCTTGCTGTTCACCCCGATCGCGCTGTCCACTCTGATTTCGCTGTTCACCCTGATCGGGATGTTAACTCTGATCGTGCTGTTCACCCTGCTCGTGCCGTTCACCCTGGCCGCGCTGTTCACTCTGATCGCGATTTAAACTCTGATCGTGCCGTTTACCCTCATCGCGATGTTAACTCTGATCGTGCCGTTCACCCTGATCGCGATGTTAACTCTGATCGTGCTGTTCACCCCGACCGCGCTGTTCACTCTGATTGCGCTGTTCACCCTGCCCGCGCTGTTCACTCTGATTGCGCTGTTCACCCTGATCGCGATGTTAATTCTGATCGTGCTGTTAACCCCGATCGCCGTGATCGGCCCGCCTCCGTCCGGTTCGCACGCAGTGATGGATCTGACAGGTGCGTTTGACGGGCGCTGAGATGAACGAGCCGGCAGGCATTGCCCTCCCTCTCCCTCCCCTCTCCCTGGGCACATTCATCCACATGTACGTTGGCTGTGCCATGCCCTGCCGAACAGCCATGCGCATTGGGCCCGCGCCTGAGTTGATATTAGCATCGGTGTTTAAGTTCCACGCTCTGTATTGTGTGTTGCCGTGGCATTTGGCAAGACTCCTGCGACATTAAAGTCACCATCCCGACGATTGCGGTGATCCAGAGTTTGCGAACTCCCCTGAAACAGGTGCTGATGAAGCCGTCCTGAAGCGCGAGCACTCCATTCAATCTTTTTGAATAAGGACAAAGGCTGAGAGCTCGCAACAGTAACACCACGACACGCGTAAACCTTTGTCCACCGTTCATCCGTTCTTGCACAGCATATATATATATATATATATATATATATATATATATATATAAAACGGTCAACACAACTCTTATAGGTGAAATGTACTGATAATCTAAATAGGTCGACCCGAGACGTCCAAGGAATCTGTGTCTAGTCCCTATGGTTATGGTTTACTCTGCATTGACCTGAATGGGCTTGGAAAGCTGCAGCCGCCCGCCCCGTGTCATATTTACCATGGAGCGGACTGCTTCAAATCGTCTGAGGCTCCGCCGGCGTCTCGACGGTCTTCCGCAGTCGGCTATGCCCGAAGCCCGAGAACAACACGTCGTAAAGGGATTGAGCCGGCCATTTTTTCGAGTCGTGGAAGCTGCCGTATTCTCCTGAGGTATTGGATATATTTGTTCGCGTCAGAGGTTTTGTCTTCACAATGATTCCGCAATATTTTGTCGCTGGAATGAACACATAGGGAAATAATGTATATATGCATATGTATGCCATACGATCTAACATAAATAGCATCCTCTGATAGTAAGAAGTAATATATTTATGGCATGGGCAGCAGTGATTATCATCTACGCGGTTGTCAGCGTTGCGATACGTTGCGTATCGTCATCAGGACGAGTATAATGGTGAAGTTCAGTCAAGTTACAATGAAATAGGACAGTATTGAACCAACATCGCTAGACATGACAATGATCCCAGTTGACGCAATTCAACACGGCCTCTCTACACATAAACAGGATGATTTGAAAAATACAGGAACCACGCGGGGGAGCATCGTTTTGAATCGTTATGAAAAAGGCTACCTTTCAAGTTGCAAAAGACATGCAGGCCCCATGATATTTAGTGGCAGCTTGCTTTTTTGTGAATCTGCAGTGATTCTAAAATCCTAAGCCACTCACAGCTCGGCTTCAGTGACCTAGCCGAGCCTGGTCGCTCGGGGCTCAGCCCCAGTGACCCCGCCCAGCCTGGCGGCTCGGGGCTCAGCCTCAGTGACCCCGCCCAGCCTGGCGGCTCGGGGCCCAGCCTCAGTGACCCAGCCCAGCCTGGCGGCGCGAGGCTCAGCCCCAGTTACCCAGCCCAGCCTGATCATTTGGGGTTTGACTCTCGCACTAGACCAAACGTGAACAGCGGATGAAATGTTTCCACAGGAGCTTTTTCCGGCGGAGGACCATACACTACGGGCATGAGTGATTTTAGTGTCATTTTTTCGCAGCGTGTGTGTCAGTGTGTCCCTTTTCTTTCGCAACGTGTGTTTCAGTGTGTCATTTTGCTTTCGCAGCGTGTGTGTCAGTGCGTCATTTTGCTTTTGCAGTGTGTCTCAGTGTGTCATTTTGCTTTCGCAGCGTGTGTGTCATTGTGTCATTTTGTTTTCGCAGTGTGTATCAGTGTGTCATTTTGCTTTCGCAGTGTGCGAATTAGTGTCATTTTGCTTTCGTGGTGTGGTATATTGGAGGCGTGGCATGTGTGTATGCCACCGACTTGTTGTTCTTGGCAGTGAGCTGACCAGGTCGCTGAGTTCTTCTGATGCCACGCTAATCAGGGGAGCACACCTGGTCCTTGCCAAGACCTGAGGGCTCCTGACACCAGAATATCCCCTCGGAAGATCATAATTGAGGCAGAAGTGCTTGTGGCATCGGATGTTCGCTCAAGGAAACCACAAGATGGCCCCTTACTGAAGCTGCTTCCTTTAGCATGCACGACGGAGTCCTGAATGTATCTGAACAACACAGCTGATGTCCACACTCCTTCCTCAGAGGACCACGCCAGGGGCCTGAGCACGTTCACCATCATGGCCGGCCTGGGCGGAGCTCTCGGATACGCCATGGGGGGCATCAACTGGGACGCGACGGTCATAGGTACGCACATGGAGCGTCGCGTGGCGGCCTGCCGCTCGGTTCTGGCAGACTTCGTATCAGGCATGGTGTCCGCAGGGCGATTAATGCTGGAGATGAGCAATTAATGTAAGTGGTAAGTTTGGGTCATTATTCTCCCGTCATGTAGGTTGTCATTGACGGGATGTCTTTTGCACGAGCACACTGGAGCACAGCTTTTTCTTTGTTTTCACCCGCCTTCGAGCCAGCCGCATTTTCGCCATGAGACCCACAGCATGAGCTCGCGATTAACGAGGCGAAAGCCAGTCTGTCTCGTGCTCTGTCTTCGCGTGCTTCTGTCTGTCGTGTGCCGTGAGCCCCGGCCGCGGCTGCTCTGCATCCCCTGGCCTACTTGTGTGCGCCTGCGCCAGGCCGGTCCGACCTGTCGCCAGCCTTGACTCACCGCTTCTACAGAGCACAGACAAACGCCCGACGTGGGTGGTACAGGGGCACACCGAGCATGCCGTCCCCACAGCAGACAAGCTGCTCTCAAAATCCCGTGGGAAAACCTTGCACTGTGCTGATATGGCACACCGCTGACAGGCATTTCTCCGAATGTGTTCGCAGTCTATACGGGAGCAGGTTTGCGAAATCCGTCAAGTGACCTGATTGAACTTACAGCACGGATGAATGCGTCATACCCTGATGAAACACTTGGAGACTGCACTCGCTGCAACCATTAACCACAAGCCCCCACCACATCTGACCCTTCTTCGCGACGCCAGTGGGTCTGTTGTCGGCCGGGCCCTGTTGACACGGTATCGCCGAGGCCGCTCGCTTCATGAGGTCACGCGCTCTGGCCGGAGGGCGGCCGGCGCCGTAAACAGCACACCGGCCGGCCGCCCAGAGCAGGAGGGCGGCCGCTGTTGTGTCGGCGCCGGGCTCCCAGGAGGCCGGCCGGGCCGATTGCTGTGTCCATCACCCCAGCTCGGGGAGGCGGCGGCCGCCCAGGGGCAGTCGGGTGGGCCAGCCACGGGCCGGGCCAGCTCTGGGCTCCGGCTTCGATGGCTGGACGCGCGGGATAATTCGGAAGGACGCAGCTCCTGGGAACTGCACAAGTCCGTGTCGGTCATCTCTGACAGCTGCCCGCTCCCAGCTCCGACAGCTGCTGCCACCCCCCCCCCCCCTACACACGCACACTCCGACAGCTAACAGCATGCAGCCCCGATAGCTACTAGCTCCCAGCTTCAGAAACTACCCACCGCCAGCTCCGACGGCTGCTAATTCCCAGCCCCGGCGCTGCTAATGGTATTACTGACGGATCTTATAGGTGTCACGAGCAGCCCGTACAGCGCCAATATTCGGGAGTGCAATACCGAATCCTATTGCAAAATCATTGTCTGCTGCGTAAGGAAAGGAATCGACAACGCAAACTGACTCGGAAGTGAGGTCATGGTTTGGCACGCACTATTTTGGGGTAACTTAAGTTGGTTTTTCGTGAGCGTATCACCAATTTTTAAAGTTTCAAAGCTTTGTGGAGTCAAAGAGACACACAATGGAGCCCCAGCAGGATCGTACTAGTATTTTTACCAATGCAATCCTAGCGATATGAGGGAACTTTATTGTGGTAAGAAGTGAGAATAGGGGCCTCTGAGTAAAAATACGTGCAAAGAAAACATTTTCCGCTGCAAGAAGATTGTTAGGACAAAGAGACTGGCACCCACCTGCCTCCCTTCCCTTCTCCCTGGTAGCTCCGTCCTTGTGTTAAAGGATGTAAATATAAGGAGCCCAGCCGTTAACGCGTTTAGCGTCTTACTAGGCTATACGGACACGAGTATATCAGCTCTCATCTCCACGTAAATGGGGAAACTGGCCTGCACTGGATGGCCTTTTCCGATCGTTCATCGTCCATCGTTTCCCTTGGCGGTTACTCCCAGTATTTTCTAGTGCAATAGTAGCAACGTGAGTATTTTGAGAAGTGCAACAGACGTGATGACGTATGTAGAAGAGCTTGGAGGCAGGCATGCGTCTCAGTTCAATAATCTGAGTGGGAGCCTGAGTCCCGGCGTTTGGGTCTAAGTCCACCCTGAGGCTGAGTCCGAGTGCCTCGAGTCCGCCCAGCACACTGCATGGGCATGGCCCCGTGTCCCCGCTAAGTCCCAGTCCGAGTTTATTCGTCTTTGGAGCCCATGAGCCACGGCATGAAAGCCAGGCCCAGGAGGCCATCTTGATCCGAGTCCGTATCGTGAAGCCTGGAGTGAGAGTCCAACAGTTTCTTGCGATATCACGTGGAATGCCAAAGGTCTAGAATAAGAGGGCTGTCGGTGATAAGAACTCGTCAGGGATAAAAATGTATGTGGATTGTAAGCCTTACTTGACCTATAAACTGGACCCTATCTAGCCTAATATCACATTTCGATATCTTTACGGGTCGGGATTTCAATAATGCACCTGCTTCTAAGTGGCCACACCGGAATAAGTTCGACCTAACCAAAACCAGCGGAGCGTAGCCGAGTCAGCCTGAGCTGCCACGCCCAACACAAGGCAGGTCCATGCCGGCGTATGGTCCCCACACCTAGCGTGAATCGTATCGAACATGTACTTTGCCACCAAAGTGTATCTGATGACTGTGCGAGAATGCAACCCTTAGGTAATATCCCAAAAGCGCCTGGGCTCCATCAAAGTTATTTTTACCCAAAGATGATTCCTTTTGGCTTCAGCTTGAAGCCGATTTCGTTTCCAACGTTTTTTTTTTTAGATCCTTTGGCCCTCGGCTAGCGTGTCTTCCTTTAGGATTGAGACCTTCCGGGACGGAGCCAACGTATTGTAGTCTCAGTCTGAATGCAATGCGCCAGTGAAAAGCAGCTTTACTGCAGCTGGATTCCCAAAACGTCACGGGTTCGGACTCGCGTGTGAATCACAACAGGCTGCGAGTCGGGGCTCGAGTCTGGTCGGACTCGGACTCATTCACCTGTGCAAAAGCTCTGGCAGGAGGATTTTGCAGTTGCGCATTGGTATTCACGTTCACGACGTCGCCATACCGTTCACTCGGTAGAGAGCGTTACCTCCTACCCGCCTGCGTTTTACGTTGGCGTTTGTTTGCCACCTCTCTTGGTTGTTTGTGGTGCGCCCTGATGTCTATTTGATAATATGAAGTGTTGTATAGGCACGTTGAACACGTTTCCCCGCGGTCAGACGCAGCCTGGAATCCTCATCGTGTCCGACATGAAGTTGATCCGGACTCACTTGTGGGCTTGGCAACGCCATCGTCAGTGTTTCCCGGGTATTCCTTGTTGGCCGTTGTTTCAGGCCTCGTCAACAGTCAACAGAGGCCTTAGATGCTTGCATTCTTACGAGTTCATTTCGGATGTGGTTTCCGCCTCGTGATGAGCGCACCGGTTCTCATCTGAGAGCGATTCAGCCCGCACCGCTACCTTCGCTGGTCGCTCAAAATGCGATAACAGTAAAATTACAGAAGATGTATCAAAAGCAAATGACGGATGCTTTGCGACTTTGTTGGGCACACATGAAGAAAGAAATAACGCCAGGGGCGGATCTAGCCTGGAGTTTGGGGGAGGGGGGGGGGGGGGGGGTGGGAGTCAACCGTTCGTCGCCAGTTGGCTGGTGTGGGATCCGAGGCTCAGTGCACTTATCAAACACGATGTTTACGTCGAATATGACTAAACCCAGTCATCATGCGTGTTGTTTTGATATTCGAATCGCTGCCAACTTTTCTTCATGAAGTTTGTTTCCGAAACGGAAAGAAATGTTTGAACAGCACATCAAAGGTAACAGACGGTAGCGAAACTTTTATGAAGTTCTGGGAATGTTTTGGGGGCCAAAACATACTCTCAGAGCTTTTGGGGCCACGCCCCGTGCCCCCCTCCCCCCCTAGGATCCGCCTATGAAAAGCGCGAGCGATCAGGTGAAGTGTGTGCAAATACATAAGCGTTCATCAAGGCGTTATCACGTATGCGTCAAGGACACGCAGGAGCCAACGCATGGGCATGAACGTGGATGCTGTTCTTTTTAAGTGAATCGGTGCGTTTTATGATTACCCTCTGGAATGCCAGAGCGTCCTTCTTAAATGAGATGGATGCTTAATGGAACAAAATAGAATATTGACTCAGTGAGTGACGTTTTTGACGCTGGTTTCACCATTAGGGCACTGGTTAGGTCGTCAGATTGTTTTATACAATTTACCTACTAAAAATAACAAACATTTGTACCTCGAAAGTGTGTTTAATGCATCTATCATTACCTATGTGCAAAAGAATGTGCTCTTCATCACGGCACCTACGAAGCGGGGCCCATGTTCCAGATATGACGTTCGTTCTACCCTGCTGGAACTAGCGCCTCGTGAGATTGGAACGCTACTGACAGTACCAGGTGCCTTCATGACATCATCTCCAGACATTACGCCAGCTGAATCCCATTTCATGTTGGAGGCTCCTGAACTAGTACCACAGCTCTGTGCCCTCGGGTGCCGTGTCGGTCCGACACGTGACCGATGCCGTCAGGAGAGGTGTTCGGAGGTCACGTGCGAGCCGTGTTCACGTTGGTGCTCTTCATCTACATCGCCTGTCTGATGACCACGCTATGCAGTTTCCCGGAGATACCTCTGGACCTCATCAACGCCCAGCTCAAGGAAGACGAGAAGGAGGTGAGACAACTTCGACACCGAACCGGGCTTTTTCAAGTCAAATCTGCGGATTGTACTTCAGAGTTGTGTCATTGCTTATGAACTTTACAACTTATATAACTTTTATAGTATTTTGCTTTTAACTCATAACTTTTTGATAATTTTCCCACATACGCATTGGAAAACAACGGATATGAAAACCTTTCACAACGCCTTGGTAGGCAGATGGCCATTTTGATGCGGACATTGGCGTTTGAAATAACTTATTTCCATCCCACACAACATGCCCATGTTGAAGCCGAGGAGCAGTGGGGGGAAGGGGGTATGACCCTCACAGTATGTATGTGAGCATTTACACCCTTGCAAAATACGTGATTTGGTTTTCATTCCCAGCATACTTGTCAAATGCTCCTCCGATAATGTAATGCTGTGATGACAATCTATCAGCCACATATATGTATATAATCAGCAACATTTCATAACCAGTTACATTCGAACTCCGTGTTACAATGACTCAAATCCCATGCTTTGTTGTGAGTATGCTGGCGTGGTTGAGGCTGAGCGGCACAAATGGCCCGTTTTTTATAACTTATGTAGGGAAGGTCAGTTGTTATCATGATAATCAATAAGCCAAGACTAAGCCATTAAAGCCGGAACCATTTTACGAACGATTCCAGTGGGTCGGTCAATGTCCCAAGAAAATACGTCACGGTATAAAAAGCTTTGGCAACTATATTAAAACTGTACCAAAATATTACAAAAAGAGCACAATTTTCCGTGGACGCAACAAGCAGTGCCTGTGAGATGAAGCCGGCACATTTGCCGATCACGTGTTGTTGATTCCGCGCTTTCATCATCTGCCCTGAATGTTTAAGACCTGGCAGCGGTCCTCAAAAATGCACCAAGAGGGCATGTGTGTGGTTGGCGCACAATAATACGCTGCTGGAGAGGACACCACCGGCCCACACTTTTACCAGTACGATCGTGTGCTTTGGGCCCTTTTAGTATTGTTGAGTCTCGTGCTGCTACAAGGCCTGGTCCTGGAAATCTGCACCTGCTTTGACCTTCGTTCTTCAGCAGCTTTACTTCTTTGTTTTTTAAGACATGGACTGAACCTTTTAAATGGATAAAATATGTGACCCAGAGCCCAGTTTATATATAATATATATATATATATATATCTATATATATATATTAATATATATACTATATATATATCTATAATACACAGGACTTGGGTGGGTCGTTAACTTAGTTATTCCATGAATGTCTTCTTCTGGGGTTTTTTGACACGATCTCATTCTTAAGCCAATATTTTTACTACACACGCTAATAGAATGGCAAAGGTGGAACCCTGGTGATATTGTCGGAAACGTTTGCATTTTGAAAAGTGTACATGCAAATATTGGACAGGTTGTCTTCACAGCACTTAAAGAATCATGCTTTTTATTGCTGACAACTTGTGTAAAAATGCAACGAGTGGTTGTACAGCTATGACCTCAAAACGTGCGACAGCCGAGCCGGCCGAGTTGGCCGGGCGACTCAAGTTGGAAGTCTGTCCTGGTTCAGGGATAGGGGCCTGGCGGCGGTACAGCAAAGGAGAACGAGATTTACATGGCAGTGGTCTGTTTCACAACGTTCAAGTCGTGTGGTCAAATTCAAATACGACCTCGTGATTAAGACGGTGCTGTTGCTGGTGGCACGCACCGTCCCCATCGCCGTTCACTGCTGGCTGCCGCCGTCTGCAGAGAAGCGCCGGGGAGGCCGAGGTGATGCTGACGGTACCGTTGCTGCTGGCACGCACCGTCTCCATCGCCGTTCACTGCTGGCTGCCGCCGTTTGCAGAGGAACGTCGGGGAGGGCGAGGTGATGCTGACGGTGAACCCGGCGGACGAGGCGCCCCGCTCCTACGGCACCGTCACAGGCGACACCAGTCCCAGCCGCTACCGACCTGGGGCGAGACCAGCTTCATGACCCCGCAGCCCTCCCGCCCCAAGGTCGGTGCAAGCGCCGACGCAGTGCGGCCCGCTGCAGAGAGGAGGCAGCTGCGGGGGGCGTACCGGTCAGCAGCAAATAAATCCCTCACAACTGTGGTCAATACCTGTAAAAAAGCGGCCACTGTTTTCCTGATCCATTGCGGGTTTCGCGTTGATGCGCTTATCTGGCGTATGTGGTGGTGTACTAGCGTAACTCGAAAGATAAGGTGCTCAAACTTCGAAGCCTGGAGAGCTGTGCATTGCTGAAACGGTCCGACCTACTTGCCAGACTGTGGCAGACAAGGGAGTATATACGGATGCGAATAACCTACGCGGGCGGAGCCCGTTCTCGTCGTCATCGTATTGTGTTATGCTCATGATGTGTTGATCCAGACTTAGTTTGACGTAAACTGCGTCTTCGAAATTCCCATGAACCACCAATGTAAAGAACCAACCAACGCAAGCGTTCCCATCTCGGTGGGATTTATGGTAAATCTGCGCCATTGTATGCCACAACTCAGTAGCCGCGGCCGAGGCTGAGTTCTGGCCGCCGTGCCGCCAGGTGCCGGAGCTGCCGAGCCCAGGGCGACGAGCCGCGGGTGACGCTGAAGGAGTACCTCCTGTCGATCGTCTACATGCCGGCCTCGCTGCGGGTGCTGGCGTGACCAACCTCTTCTGCTGGATGTCGCTCGTCTGCTACTCTCTCCTACTTCACGGACTTTGTGGGCGAGGCTGTGTTCGGCGGGAACCCCCAGGGTGAGGCCTGCTCAGTGCCAGGGGCGAACGGGCGTTGCCAATAGAAAGGCTTCGGCAAAACTAGAGCTGTGTCAGTCCCACGCCGTTCCGGTCGACTGAATACTGTTTCAGTTATGATGTGTTTTGTGTTTACACGCCGGGGTTTCCGAAATAGTCCCTGAGCTCTCAGAATGGTCAAGGAAGCCCTGGTATTCCAATATTATATTCCAACTATGTCATGGGCCAAGCATACCTATATCTGTTTAATGCTTGAATCCGCTGCACGCATTACTGCGTGCTTTATGCTGCAGGTATGTGTCAAGAGTTGGTGGCAGTTATATGTCGCTATACGCACGTGGAGTTCACTGGTAGCGCCCAGCTACAATGTTTAAAGGGGATGTTCCACATTTGAAGATATTGAAGCAAGTGTCAGATATGATGAAATGAGCTTGCTTACAGCGACTGACGTACTTTTAATTGGAACAGACTAGTCCGGACACCACAAAGTCTGTTTTTAGTAAATATGCTTCTCAATGCGTCATTGTTTGATCCCGTCACCGTACCTTGCACAACATTGATTAAGAGCCAATTGACGGCCGTTTTAGCTGGAAATCGCGTTCATGAGCGCCAGATATGAACGACTTGGCGGTTATATTTTCTGGCCTTGATCACCTCACGACCAATGGAACAGTAGAATGTGTATGACGTTATTATGGCGTCATGGATGCCTGAGTGACCTTGAAATAGTCTCACTGAAATAGTCTGTACGTCTTCGCGGACATGTGGCTCAGAAACCAGAGGGTTTCAAGTTTTAAGAAGGTCAGGGCTGTAAGCTGCACCGGATGATCTTCAAGATGACAATTTCGGTTCAAAACCCCATGCAGATGTGATCACTCAATTTAAACGGGGTTTTGGAAACAGAGGCGTACGTGCATGATGCCGCTGCGCCCGGAGCCTGTTTTGCGACCTGGGCGTTGTTCACCGTCCCTTTGGAGCACCCCGACTGACAGTGGTGAGCGGTATGCTCTGACGGGCAGCGTTGGGTGATTTGCTCTGACAGACAGGTGTGGGTGATGTGGCCTGACAGGCAATTACAGGTGGTGTGCTCTGACAGGTAGTTGCGGATGATGTGCTCTGACAGGCGGCTGCGGGTGGTGTGCTCTGACAGGCAGTTGCGGGGGTGTGCTCTAACAAACAGTTGTGGGGGATGTGTCTGACAGGCAGTTGTGGGGTGTGTGGTCTGACAGGCAGTTGTGGATAGTGTGCTCTGACAGGCTATGGGAAGGGGGGGGGGTGTGAGCCCTGACAGGCTGTGGTGGCTTCTGACAAGCTGCGGTGGTCCTGACAGGCTGCGGTGGGCGGTGAGTCCTGACAAGTTGTGGTGGGTTGTGAAGGCTGTGGGGGTTGTGACAGGCGCTGTGGTGTTTGACAGAGTGGTGGGTTTGACAGGCCTGTGGCGGTTATGACAGGCTTTGGTGGGTTTGATGAGGCTGTGTGGGTTATTACGCTATGATGTTCTGCAGGCTGTGGGTGGGGTTCTGATAGGCTTCGGTGGACCATGACAGGTGGCTGTGGTGCGTTCTGACAGGCTGTGGTGTGTTCTGACAGGCTGCGGTGGGTGGTTAGGTAGTACGTGTGCTCTAGCAGCCTGTGATGTGTTCTGACTGGCTGCAATGGGTGGTGAGGTAATACGTGTTTTCTAACAGGCTGTGGTGGGTTCTAACAGGTGGTGAGGTAGTACGTGTGCTCTAACAGGCTGTGGTGGGTTCTGACAGGCTGTGATGAGTTGTGACAGGCTGTGGCGCATTATGACAGGCTGTGGTGGGTTCTGACAGGCTATGGTGGGTTATGGCAGGCTGTGATTGGTTCTGGCAGGCTTTGGTGGGTTCTGATAGGTTTTGGTGGACCCTTACAGGCCGTAGTGCGTTCTGACTGGCTGCAGTGGGTGGTGAGGTAATACGTGTTTTCTAACCGGCTGTGGTGGGTTCTAACAGGTGGTGAGGTAGTACGCTTTTTCTAACAGGCTGTGGTGGGTTCTGACAGGTGGTGAGGTAGTGCGTGTGCTCTAACAGGCTGTGGTGGGTTCTGACACGCTGTGGTTGTTGGTGAGCTGTGACAGGCTGTGGTGGGTTCTGACAGGCCGCGGTGGGTCCTGACAGGCTGTGGTTGTTGGTGAGTTCTGACCGGCTGTGGTGGGTTCTGACAGGCTGTGGTTGTTGGTGTACCTCTGACTGGCTGTGGTGGGTTCTGACGGTGGTGAGATAGTGCGTGTTGCTCTGACAGGCTGTGGTGGGTCATGACAGGCTGCGGTTGGTGGTGAGCTCTGACGGGCTGTGGTGGGTTCCGACAGGCTGTGGTGGGTCCTCACAGCCTGCGGTTGTTGGTGAACTCTGACAGGCTGCGGTGGGTTCTGACAGGCTGCAGTGGGTTCGGCGTCGCGCTCTGCGTACGAGGATGGCGTGCGCTTCGGTTGCTGGGGCATGGCCATCTACTCACTCTCCTGCTCCGTCTACTCATTCCTCATCGAGTCATTGGTTCGTAAATTCAGGTAAGGTCCTAGCCCCCGACCTTCCCTCAATCTATGGTCAGGACTACAGACATTCGTAGCGTGTGCCACCTTGGTTGCCTGAGTATGGCGCCAGCTTTTCATTCATCAAAGCAAAGGCTGCAGTCCAATGATTGCCCCTCTGGGTCATTCTCAGATGTATTTTCAGATGCACTGTATTGATGCGATCTACAGCATCTTTTTGATGTGACTTGTGTGCAGGATAAGGCAAAAATTGTCCTGCGACACATGGTACTGCAGGTTTTCGTCCTCTTGCATCTCCTTGATCCAGAGCCACCACCAGTATGCCACATTGGTGGGCATCCTCCCCGTGCCCCACGATCCATATGGGCCGTCCGGTGTACCTCACGTGGTGTACCTCTTCTCTCTCCTATACCTTCAGGGCCCGCCCGGTGTACCTCTCCTGTGCGACCAGTGTGTACCTCACTCAGCGCGCCTCTCCCGTACTGCCAGTGTGTACCCTACTCAGCGTGCCTCTCCCGTACTGCCAGTGTGTACCCCACTCAACGTGCCTCTCCCTTACCACCAGTGTGTACTCCACTCAGTGTGCCTCTCCGGCCGCCAGTATGTACCCCACTCAGTGTACCTCTCCCGTGCCGCCAGTATGTACCCCACTCAGCGTACCTCTCCCGTGCCGCCAGTATGTACCCCACTCAGTGTACCTCTCCCGTGCCGCCAGTATGTACCCCACTCAGTGTACCTCTCCCGTGCCGCCAGTATGTACCCCACTCAGCGTACCTCTCCCGTGCCGCCAGTATGTACCCCACTCAGCGTACCTCTCTCGTGCCGCCAGTGCGTACTCCACTCAGCGTACCTCTCCCGTGCGACAGGGCCCGCCCGGTGTACCTCTCCCCTGCGGCCGGTGTGTACTCCACTCAGCGTACCTCTCCTGTGCGACAGGGCCCGGCCGGTGTACGTGGGCGGGCAGCTGGTGTACGCCGTCGGCATGGTGTTCATGGCCACGCTGCGACACCGGGTGGCCGTTATAGTATTCTCAGCCTGCGCCGGCGTCATGTACTCCACACTTTTCACCATGCCGTACCTGCTGGTGGCTCACTACCACGTCTCGGGATCGGTGAGTGGTCTCTCTGTGGCGTCCTGTGTTTATAAAGGTATTTTGTGGTGTGTCATCCATGCGGGGAGGTAAAGAAAGCGGAAATGCTCAGTGCATTTGGTGAAATTTATCATCGCTGAGCACTCTCCCGTTGTGACAGATCTCTACCGATATGTTTGGGACATAAACGTTTGCATGCATACGATATGACATGTGTAGCAGAGACCTCGCCAACTTGCCGAAAAATGCGTTAAAAACATGTCCGTTTGTCCTGTCCAAAGCATGTTTTATCGTGTTGTCCAAAACATTTAAGCGTGCACATGCTTGCTCCGAAATGTAAGCCACAGCAAATATTCGCCACAGTTTCCATTCATTCAAGTTGAAAATGATAAGGCTTAAATGTTCGCATGTGAGCACTGCAGTAGCCAAACGTGAACTACAGGGTCGCATTAGAACCTTGCTCTTTGAAATGGGAACACGCCACTTTGTCCCACCGTTTCCGCGCTGTTCGGTTCTTCCTTCCTTTCTACGGCAGCTTCCGTGGTCGATAATTTTAGCATAATTACTCTGAACTCATATACTTCCAATTGAATACTCAGTAGGAATGACTTAGTATTCATAGCGCTTCCTTAGCGGAGTTCGTCGCGTGATTCTGATTCAACTTCCAAACGCAAGCCGATCCCGTCCATCGGGTTACTTTCCTGCGGCGTTCTTGCCAGCGGGTCTGAGCGGATTTAACGTGTCGGACAGTATGCTCCGGCACGGCTGTACGGGTCAAGTGAACCCGTTCAGTCGGTTGTCAGCAGACCTCTATCAGCAAGCCGGCGAAAGTGTTAGCACGGCCGAACGGGCCGGGCTGACCTAGGCTGGCCGGTCGCCAGCTGACCTTCTTCGGTGGTTCGGCGAAACGGCACGCCATCTCAGGGCTCGTGCGCGGCATCAGGGGTGTCGATTGACATTATTTTGTGAGGGCCCGGCCCCGCCTTGGGCTCGCAATGTTGGTCATGGGTCTCCTCATTGCTGGAACAATACAAATGTTATGAGGGTATTCTTTTCCCTCCATGGCCTCTATAACGCTTTTAAAAGCTTCTGTTAAGTACATAGTACAATGACCACAACTAACTGTGCCGTTCCTCAAAATGAAGTGGGCGTGATCCGGTGAGAAACGTGCCTTTAAAGGGCGATGGGGTAGCGGCTACGTCAGCTCACTTCCCTCCCCTTCCCCCACACAATACGATGATAATTTTTTGACCAATCCCACGTGGGTCAAAGAAAACAGTTGTCTTAATGCATATAATTCTAAAGGTTATTGCTTACCTACCAAACATCGATTTAACGTAGTGTCCTTGAAGGACAGCTATTTATTTTTTTCTCTTCCGAATTTAGTTTCTTCTGTCCCAACTTGCACTGCTGGCAGGGCGTGGGCCACTGAATTGTGCCGGTTGTTTGTAGCGAGGTGGGACTGGAGCATCACTGACACCTTCGTCAAATTAAACTGACTCGAAAAGAAAGAGAGAAAATAATTTGCATTTGACGTTAGGCAGCTTTCATATGCACGGTTCCAAGGATAAAGCAGATGACAATGTAGTACCTCCAGAATTGGTATCTGCAGAGCCTTTCGGAACACGTTAAAGGCTGGAGAAATGCGTCAACGCTCGGTTAATATCACCCACGCCCTGATTACATATCCCCCCCCGCACACACACACACACACTTACAGCCGTTGCAGCTGATCGTGGATCCAGAGGCGCCACGGGGCAAGGTCTCAGACCCCACAGAGGCCACGCCAGGCTGAACGGACGCAGGTTTTTAACACAAAGTGCAAACGCCCGGTCGCCCTCGGCGCCTTCCAGCCCACCTGGAAAAGCCGAGAGCAAACGTGACGGCCCACTGAACGAAAGACAATGAGTTTGGCTGGTTGAAGGGACCGTTGTTGGAAAGGTTTTCAGGGTTCATTACGCTGCCTGGGGGTTGCGATGTTGTTGCCAGCTGCCCTATATGGTGACTGGCGGGACACCTTCGATTGCTGAAAAGCCTTCCTCGCTGCTGTTGAGTTCTTCGCGTTTGCTTGGAGGGTCCTAAGCTGATGTTTGGGGGCTTTATGTTTGCCTGTCGCAGCGCTCTCGATCGCTCAGGCCCTTCACGGGCTCTTTCCATTCGCCTGGCAGGCAGGGGCGGGTCTAGCCTGGAGTTGTTTTTTTCTTTTGTTTTGGGGGGGGGGCAACCGTTCGTCGCCAGCTGGCTGGTGTGGGATCCGGGTCCAGTGCATGGTGCCTCTCGCAAATACGTAGTAGGGACACCATTCAAAACCGAAAAAAGCACCGAAATGCTTTTGAATCTTAAACAGAAGTTAAAACAAGACAGTTAAAACAGTTAAAGTTAAAACAGACGGTAAGTAGACGAAACTTTTGTGAAGTTCTGGGAATGTTTGGGGGGGGGGGGGGCAAAACATAGTCTCAGAGGTTTGAGGGGGGGGTATGGCCCCGTGGCCCTTCCCCCCCCCCCGCTCCAGGATCCACCTGTGCTGGAAAGAAGGATTCCATAGGATTACCTGGTACTCTTGGTGGTTCAGGGGCCCTTCTGAATGGCGTCGGGTTCTTCCCACCTGCCGGAGGGTCCCGCGCTGTGCTAAGGGTCATGCATTAATATAGGGCTCTTTCTGTTTCCTCCCATTGACGGAGGACCCTACACTTCTATTGGG